AGCCGACATGTGACAAAGAAGCGGTCACAGGTCGGCTCTATTGATCCGGAAGTGAGCAGAAAAATGCAGTCAATCCACTCACTTCACGATCATCTCCATGCAGTGAGTAGTGACTGTCAGTCACCGCTCCCCGCAGGGATTCCCCCTTCCCCTCTCCGATCCTCCAGCGCTGAGTGCACAGCTGGCTCTGCCTCTAGATAGGCAGAGTCTTCTGTCACTCACGCAGCTGGGTGGATCCAGACAGTATTGTCGGGATCCGTCCCGGCTGCGGCGCTCTCAGTATATCGTAGGCAATAGCCCGTGATATACTGAGCTTTGGGTCACGGAAGGAGGCTAGTATATGTCCTCCCGTGACCCTAAAAAGAGAACTGTGGGAAAAAACACTTACTCCATAGTTCTCTTTTAAAGGTGCGTGGCGCAATGGTCATTTTCATATGTAGGCATGCCTGATGTTTGTATGTGCATTTATGTGGGGATGGAGGACTTCAAAATAAATTTGGGGTGTTTTTACATTTATTGTACTTCACTTTATTTTTTAAAAGATATTTTTTTTAAACTTCATTTTCTTGCGATCACATAGGGGCTCACAAGCCCCCTATGTGAAAGCACTTTAGCTTTTCCTCTTTGAAGAAATATTAGGGGGGGTCTAATGTCACCCTTGTAGCCCACAAAAGCATGATCAGCTTCTTCCCTGGCCTCTCTGGCTGGGGAATGACAATTCAGAAACCAGTGACAAAATCATTGTCTCTTCCGGGTTCATTCAGCAAGGAGGGCCTCTCTCCCCTCTCTCTGCTGAGGTTGGTCCCGGGCCTCCAGGAGGGTACCAGAGACAAGGAAACACAGAACGGGGTGACAGGCAGGGGAAGTGATCCGGTGGCTTTACAGCCATTTGAATTACTTCCAGTGTAAAGTTGACGGTCAGTTTTACACATGTAAACAGACCGTCTGCTTACAGGGGCCCGCTGCTGCTGACATATGACACGTGTCTGCGGCAGATTCCCCTGCTAGGGGAATTCACACCCTTTATTTGTTTTGGTGACCATTGGTATTGGGTCTGAAAATTAAAGGACATTCCAAAATTTTGATTTGTTAACAGAACAGGACTATTGAGAAGATTTCCCTCACTTTGGAGAGACTTCTTCGCATGTCCTGTTGTTACTACAGGACAGGAAATGAAGGAAAATCTCCCCAATTAGACACAGATGACAAGAAAAAACTGACAGGGGTTACGACTAGGGATTCACTGAAACTTCGGCCGCAAATGGTACTATGGGCAAAATGCTGATTAAAAAAACAAATAAAATGTGGCGTATCCCCAGCTTCTCCCCTCCCCACTGGGCAAGGGCTGTAAGCTTGCAATGTGCCCCCTCCGGTCCCCACTGCTCTCCCCCCGCCTGTGTGGCAGAGGCAGCGGGGATCGGAGGGGATACAGAGCTGATCCAGCTGCTGGCACCCAGTGGGGGGGGGGGAAGCTGTCATGAAGAACAGCGTCAGCAGGGAGGAGGCAGAACAGTTGCAGAACAGGATGCAGAGTGAGGAGGAGGATCAACAAATATGTGACATATGTGCTGATCCTTTCATGTACTGCTCAAACATCGGTATGATCAGTTCTGATCACACCAATGTTAGTATTATTTACGGTGTACCCAATTATGAATGAATAGGAAGTGCCCTATATGATTTCCTGTTCATTCATGATTGCGGACATAGTAACTGATACTATGCTATGGCATAATATCTGCATCAGAGGCAATAAAATGATTCAAGCAGACTTTACAGTGTTTCTGACAAGGGGCACCATAAATATTGTTTATTACTATGAAAAAATATACACAGCAGGAAAATGAAAAATGATTTACATTCAAAGATAAAACAAAACGCATAATATAATATGTATAATAAAGCAAAACCAAGAGGTAGCTGGATCATGTAGCACCCACCATTTATCCACAAACCAAGAATACAAAGATTGTTATCAAAACATGTCAACAGGAAATCTTGAAACATCAAAAAATACTTTTTTTTGTTTATAAATAAAGTAAAATGAAAGATACTTCAGCCATATTAACGACCACTACTATACTGTAGATCGTAAGCTAACCATTCACTATATACCCACGCAGAGAACTGCTACCGGGTCAGACAGGTGCAGCCTATATATAAGTGCGTGCGTGCATCCCGACATGCATGGATGTGCAGGTTGGGGTCAACATGTAGCCGTGTCCTTTCATACGGATGTAAAGGTGTCTGCGCGCTATTACAGGCGGCACCTGTCTCTGCACAGGCAGAGTTCTGAGTCCTGCTGTGCAGAATATTATAGAGACAGATATCAAGACATATTGAGGCACCCAAATGAGTTTTATATAAAAATACATCAAATAATTTTATAATACATACATAAATAGATTTAAAGTGTCTTTTTTTAACTTTTGCCTGGAGTGCATCTTTAAAATGTCCTCTAGCATGGACTAAACCGACACATATATGCCACATACTCATCTGTGGTGAAACTATAAACTGTGTCATGCTTCTGAGGTGAAGGATTTTCATGCACTATTCAAGGTTCATTGAGACATAATCTGACTCCACCAAGCAGTTCACTCTGCTAATGGATCCAACTTATAAAAGGAACAAGCTAAGGTACGGAGGGGAATTGGAGTTCCTGCTTGTGTGGTTACCATTTAGGATGAGACTGCAGTTTATGTTTTACATTTCATATTAGAGTTAGAAGGACATCACAAAGAAAAGAGAGGGGTGATGGTATTAAACCTTGTTATTTGACTACCTATGCACCCCTTGAAGCATATAAAACACAGGCCCTCAAAAATAGCACCATGGAAAGTGAAGTTGATTTCTAAAAGCAATGTGATTCTGCCTGTCAAGTTCATAGCACAGATTACAAGCCATAAACCTGCCTGTGTCCTCATTACTAGCTTTCTTAGACAAATATCGAAGTGTTGCATGTGCACTCTGTTCTATCAACAGGTTTTAAAATGTGCTTAACAGCACCTCTGTGTCAAAGAGTCAATATGTATGATCAACAAGGGATACCTGGAAGGGTTTCCCAAATGCCCATTTGTGCATAGTAAAGGACAGTGCTGATAGCGTCTTAGCTCCTGCTCCTGTCAACGGGGATTGAGATTTTAAAATACAAGCACAGGGCACTTATACGAGTTCCTAAAATACTAATAGATAGGAAGATCATGGGTTACCTTAGTTCTCAAACAGCCCAGTTCATGCATTGGATAAGGAGACTTTTCTCTCAATCAGTAGCTGTTGGGATATCAAATAGGCAGTATAGAATGATCCAATCTACCTGTGTACAGTCCTGGCCAAAAGTTGTGAGAATGACACAAACACATTTTCACAAAGTGTGCTTCTTCAGTGTTTTAAGATCTTCTTGTCAGATGTTACTATGATATACTGAAGTATAATTACAAGCATTTCATAAGTGTCAAAGGCTTTTATTGACAATTACATTAGGTTTATGCAAAGAGTCAATATTTGCAGTGTTGACCCTTCTTATTCAAGACCTCTGCAATTCGCCCTGGCATGCTGTCAATCAACTTCTGCGCCACGTCCAGACTGATGGCAGCAATTTCTTGTATACTGAATGCTTGGAGTTTGTCAGAATTTGTGTGGGGTTTTTTTTTGGATTGACCACAAGTTCTCAATGGGATTAAGGTCTGGGGAGTTTCCTGGCCATGGGCCCAAAATTTCGATGTTTTGTTCCCCCAAGCCACTTAGTTATCAGTTTTGCCTTATGGCAAGGTGCTCCATCATGCTGGAAAAGGCATTGTTCGTCACCAAACTGTTCCTGAATGGTTGGGAGAAGTTGCTCTTGGAGGATGTTATTGTACCATTCTTTATTCATGGCTGTGTTCTTAGACAAAATTGTGAGTGAGCCCACTCCCTTGGCTGAGCAGCAACCTCACACATGAATGGTCTCAGGATGCTTTACTGTTGGCATGACATAGGACTGATGGTAGCGCTCACCTTTTCTTCTCCGGACAAGTTTTTTTCCGGATGCCCCAAACAATCGGAAAGGGGATTCATCAGAGAAAATGACTTTACCCCAGTCCTCAGCAGTCCAATCCCTGTACCTTTCGCAGAATATCAGTCTGTCCCTGATGTTTTTCCTGGAGAGAAGTGGCTTCTTTGCTGCCCTTCCTGACACCAGGCCATCCTCCAAAAGTCTTTGCCTCAGTGTGCGTGCCGATGCACTCACACCTGCCTGCTGCCATTCCTGAGCAAGCTCTGCACTGGTGGTGCCCCGCTCCCGCAGCTGAATCAACTTTAGGAGACGGTCCTGGCGCTTGCTGCACTTTATTGGGCGCCCTGAAGCCTTTTTCACAACAATTGAACTTCTCTCCTTGAAGTTCTTGATGATCTGATAAATGGTTGATTTAGGTGCAATCTTAGTAGCAGCAATATCCTTGTCTGTGAATCCTTTTTTGTGCAAAGCAGTGATGACTGCACATGTGTTCCAGGGTTTACAGAGAAAGAACAAATGATTTCAAGCACCACCCTCCTTTTAAAGCTTCCAGTCTGTTATTCTAACTCAATCAGCATGACAGAGTGGTCTCCAGCCTTGTCCTCGTCAACACTGACACCTGTGTTAACGAGAGAATCACTGACATAATGTCAGCTGGTCCCTTTGTGGCAGGGCTGACATGCAGTGGAAATGTTTTTTGGGGGATTAAGTTCATTTTCATGGCAAAGAGGGACTTTGCAATTGATCTGATCACTCTTCATAACATTCTGGTGAATATGCAAATTGCCATCATACAAACTAAAGCAGCAGACTTTGTGAAAATTGATATTTGTGTCATTCTCAACACTTTTGGCCAGGACTGTATACAGCAACCATGGGCTGATGTGAGTGCCGTGTGTATGGATTGGTCAGATCACCCCATATTCCTGCATGACCAAAATTGTAAAAGATTAGGCTTCTGAGCACCACTCTAAATTGAGACAGCCAATCAAATATCAGCAAGTATGACTAAATAATCTCTCACAGAGAGATAAGAATGTAGTTGGTACTGTATTTGCAGTGCCACTGTAACAGATAAGATTTTTACAGATTCATTTGTCCACCTTTTGACTTTCTCTGGTTTTCTTCAAATTCCACAACATGCCGCAGAACATCTCATAGCAGAAGAAGGTGAGTCCAGTTGAAACAGCAGCTTTGAGCAAACTTGGGGACAATCCTTTAAAAAAGCCCCTTAATCCTTCTTCTAGGTGTATCCGATATACACAGTCTCGGAGACCCTGGTACGTTCTGACCTGTAGCAACAAGTAAACATAAATCAAGAAGATATTCTTCACAGATTGTATAGCAAGCCCAATAATCGTATAGAGCTAACACAGACATTGGTATAGTCTACTACATATTGGGGATGCACTGAAATTTTAGCAGCCGAAATATTTCGGCTGAAAATTGTACTTTGGGCAAACTGCCAAAAGTACCATAATGGTAGAAAATTATGTGCATCCCTAATTTTTCTCCTCCCCATTGTGTCCCATCCAATCACCCCTGCGGTCCTCTGCCCTTGCTGGCAGAGGCAGCAGGGATCCACAGTGTCCAGCGGGGAGGAGAGAAGGTTTAGAAAGCCAAGCGGGGAGGATGCAGCTCAGCACCGCCTGCTTGGCTCTTGTGACAGGCGGAGAGTCAGCTGTCAAGAGGCTACGCTCTCCGCCCACACTGCCCCACTCAGCCTCCTGTCACAGCGAGTCAGGGTGGAGAGCGAAGTACAAACACTCCGTGATCAGCTGATCCCTGAGTGTTTGTAAATAACTGTGAGCATAGTATGCTCCCACTGTCCCCAGTTATGAATGAACATGAAGTGCTCTACATCACTTCCTGTTCATTCATGATTGTGGACATAGTAACTGATACTATGCTATGGCATAATATCGGCATCAGAGACAATAAAATGATTCAAGCAGACGTTACATTGTTTCTAGCAAGGGGCACCATAAATATTGTTTATTACTATGAAAAAATATACACAGTAGGAAAATGAAAAATGATTTACATTCAAAGATAAAACAAACAAACGCATAATATAATATGTATAATAAAGCAAAATCAAGGAGGTAGCTGGATCATGTAGCATCCACCATGTACCCACAAACCAAGACTACAAAGATTGTGGACATAGTAACTGAATTACTTTAACTGAATTACATAGTTTATGAATGGACAGCAGCACTCAGTATATAGGCTTCCTGTTCATTTATAACAGGGGCTGCAGAATAAGATATTGAGGACTCTGTGTCCTCAAACTCTTTTTCTATTTTAAAAAGGGAAATATCAGGGGTCTGTATAGACCCCTGATATTTCCACAAAGCCCCCAACAGTAAAGTACAAATAAAATAATTTCAAAAAGGTGGGAGGAGCCTAACTTGACGACTGTTATACGCTGTATTTGACCTCAGCACAATGTGTACATATGTGACTATGCACACTGGCAAATGTTTGTCTGAATGTTTTTTCAATTTTTGTACTGTTGGAAAACTTAATAAAACTTTTTCTGGGGGAAAAAAAAGTTTGGAGGAAAAAAACCCCAACAAAACATAATTTTCGGTGTTGGTTTTGGCCGGACAAATCTTTTATTTATTTTTGGTCTAGAAAATTAAATTTCGGTGCATCTCTACTACATACAGTTGCTAGTTTTGGAAAAACAGGAAATAAGCATGCTTGAAAAGGTGGTAAGGAGGACAGTAGGGGAAGAAGCCCTTTGTTTTGCAGAAAGAACCAACACTTGCAAATTTGCTGATGTGGTCATCTGGACCTAGAGGCTTCTCTAGACTTTGTGAGGTTTCAGGGGAAACTCAAACATGAGGCCATCACCCTTCAGGACAGGCCTGTTTAAGCTGCTCAAGGACGAAGTAATAAGTATCTGGTGTAGTATACTACGGGAAGTGAGTAGCTATATTCTTTTTAACTCTTCCTTCAGCAGCTCCTAAAAACGGGCTGTCCAGAGGCCTGTTTTTATTTCGGGATGGCCCAGCAAGGCTGGTGAATCTGTGAAGGCGGTGCTGGATCACTTTAAGGACCTGCAGTGATCCAGTGAGAGAGGGAGAACTGACACTGCTGCTCTAGGTGAGGGCTGAGGAGGACCCTCACCTAGCACAGCAGAAATCACAGAGCGACCCACAGGTTGAGAACCACTGGTGTACGCCGTCAGAATAAAAAAACAAAAAAAACACCCTAGGAATGCATAGCTAGATTCCTATTGGCTATTTCACTTTGCAATAGCAAACTAGCTAGTGCACCCGCCCTCTGCTGCTGTCAATCAGTAGTGGGGACCTGATGGAGAACTTCAGGTTCCCCTCTGCTGATTGGCAGCAGCAGAGGGCGGGTGCAATAGCTAGTTGTTATTGGCTATTGCAAAGTTAAATAGCCAATAGGAATCTAGCTATGCATTCCTATGGTGTTTTTTTTCTGACTTACGGCGGCCTACGGCCCCCAATGTCAGACAAAAAAGGTTTACTCTGCTCGGGAGAAAGTGTTTCTCTCCCAGGCGGCCGGGAGCCGCTATCTAATAGCAGGAGACTCCCGGGCGACCCCTGGCAAATCGTCCACAATCGTCCCTGGCAAATTTCCACATTAGCACATACCAAGATATATAACAATAATACTATTACATAATAAGTGCCTACCTCTCCGAATGCAGCTCTCGCCTGTTCAAAGCCCCCAATCTGAAGCCTTTTTTTAATCAGATCTAGCGGATAAGTGACAGTTTTACTTATCACTCCAGCTCCACTACCACAAAGAAGGTTCTTTAAGTTACCTGTTTAAAGAATACAAGGAAGAATATAGGTAATCGTGTTACGTGTAGTGGAACAGATAAAAGACAAAGAAGACTATGAATAGGAGAAGAATAAACTAGTGTAACATTCCATAAATGAATAATGGAGGAGTTTCAGCATCTTTTGCAATGCATCTGTTCTCTCTGTGTCCATATTGATTGTCGTGTAACAGATTATGAGAAGGTAATATAGAGCTAGAATTCACACACTTGCACCAGCAGTATTTCAAAAATACATTAAACAAATTTTAGAAATGTCTGTGAATTTATTAAAAAGAAAAAAACTGAAATATCACATGTACTTAAGTTTTCAGTCCCTTTACTCAGTACCATGTTGAAGCACCTATGGCAGCAATTACAGCCCTGAGTCTTTTTGGGTATGACGCAACAAGCTTTGCACACCTGGATTGGGGGAATTTCTGCCATTCTTCTTTGCAAATCCTCTCAAGTTTAGTCAGGTTGGATGGGGACTGTCGGTAGACAGCCATTTTCAAGTCTCTTCAGAGATGTTCAATAGGGTTCAAGTAAGGGCTCTGGCTGGGCCACTCTAGGACATTCACACAGTTGTCCCTATACACTGCTGTTTTGTCTTGGCTGTGTGCTCAGGATCGTTGCCATGTTGGAAGGTGAACCTTTGGCCCAGTCTGAGGTTCTGTGGAACAGGTTTTCATTGAGGATCTCTCTGTATTTTGCTCCATTCAGATTTCCTTCATACCCTGACCGGTTCCCCAGTCTCTGCTGCTGAAAAACACCCCCACTGCATGATGTTGCCACCACCATGCTTCACTGTTGGGTTGGTATTGGTGCACCAACTTTTATATTTATTTCATTAAATATTTGTATTTTTTTTAACTTTACTGCTGGGGGCTTCTGTGAAATGTTACAGACTCCTGATATTTCCCTTTTACAATAGAAAAAGAGATTGAGGACACAGAGTCCTCAATCTCTTTCTGCAGCCCCAGCAGTGAATGAACAGGAATCCTCTATACTGTACTGAGTGTTCCTGTTCATTCATAAATTGTGGCTATAGTGTGAGTTACTATGTACACAATCATGAATGAATAGGAAGTGATGTAGAGCATGGAGCAGGCTTCCTAGCCAATCAGGAAGCCGGACGGCACTTCATGACTCGCCACCCAGCTTCCTGATCAACAGGAAGCCAGGTAGGCCCGGCAAGTGAAGCCATTGTTCTTTCGCTAGAACACCAGTTTCACAGGCGATCAGGACCCGGGCAACGGGTCATGATTCACCACCCGACTTCCTGATAATCTGGGAACACTGCACCGGTACTCAGTACTGGTGAGTACTGAAAAAAATATATCGGTACTCGATACTGAAAAACTGGTATTGGTGCATCCCTAATAGTAACTCATACTATGTTCAATTATTTACAAACATTAAGTGATCAATAATCGCTGAATGTTTGTATACCGTTCTCCATCCTGGATCGGCTCTCACAGGAGGCTGAGCGAGCGGTGCGGGGAGGAGAGCTCGGTCTCATTTGTCAGCTGACTCCTCCCCATCATCGCCAGCTCGGCCTGCTGTGACAGCTGACACCTGTCTCTGCCCACACAACGCTCTCCTGATCGGTGACTCGCTCCTCCCGTGACTCGCTCACAGCGCTCTCCTCCCTGCCCCGCTTGGCCTCCTCCGACAGTTTCTCTCTTACATGCTGGAGGGGACAGCGGGGAGGAGAGAAACTAGGAATGCACCTCAATTTCGGCCAAAAGATTTTGCCCAAAGTGCCATTTTCGGCTAAAATTTCGGTACATCTCTAATAAATAAATATTAATAACTTTTTTAGCCAATTACTGTAACTCGCTGTATGAAAGAACACAGGTTGACATCTGAACATGCGGTCAGGTTTCAGCACCTCTTTTATCATGGCTTGGTGGTGAGGAAGCATTCCAAACTTTCTTTAACAGATTATAGGAAGAGAACTGAAGGCCGGCATATGGAAACACTGCTAACAGAGTAGGACAGAGCCCCCGATAGAATGTGAAGAATCCTTCTGTCTTGAACATAGTGACAATGGCATAGCGTAGCGTTTTATACACCTTGAAAAGAAACAGGAAATTAGATGTGCTTCATGTTTTGTAGAGCATCAGTCGGGGATTTATCAAGCTGGAGCAGACAAAATCTGGAGCTAATCAGCTTCTCTCTTAGGCCTGGTTCACTCCTGTACGTTTTGTAGCGTGTTGAACACTCTACAAAACGCTCAAACATGAAACTCCCATTGTTTTCTATGGGTATGGTTCACACCTTGCCGTATTTCAGCCCGTCTGAACACGCTACAAAACGGCCTACGCCTGAAAAGGTACATGAGCTTCTTTGCAGCGTTTTTGTCGCGCATTTCCATTGGGATACAGTCAAGTAGCCCTCGGAAACGCACGTTTGTCGCGCGTTTTTTTACCACGAATCGCGGTAAAAACGCACATCACGAAACGCGCGACAAATGCGCATATTCGATACGCCTAGGTGTGAACAGAGCCTTAAGTTTGTTCAGTTAGGCTTTGAAAATGAAAAGGTGGAAACTGATTGGTTACCATGGACAGCTGCTCCAGTTTTGATCAATTCCCCTCATGCACTATACCGAGACAATACCCATAACATACACTTCACAAATAACATACGGAAATTTCTTATACATATTTTTTTGGAAAGAGTTTCACATTTAGTGCTTTATTTATGCTCCGAAATCTTCTAGATTTGTCACATCCTACAGCCAGTAATCTGAATTGTACTTCCTACAGCCAGTAATCTGAATTGTTCTGCCCAGCATGAGAAGAGATACGGATTTCAAAGGAAGAGCAGCAAAGAGAAGGGAAACTACCATGGATTACAGTAAGGCACACATTACAGTATTGTTTTATGTTAAAAAATCTGAGGGTTTAATGTCACTTTAAAGAAGAACTCCAGAATGCACATCACTTTATATATTTAAGTCCCTCTCAGTCAGAGGAAGCAAACAATTTATTATAAAAGTGCTTACTTTTGTTGTAATCCTTGTTTTTTATCTGCCAGTGATGTCACATCCTCCTATTATTAGATCAGTACTTCCTACAGCCAGTGGAGGATCTAGGTAACCAGTGCGTGTCATATCCTGGCATAGAGAGCTGACTACATCTCCCATGAGGCATTGTGAAATAGAGGAAGTTAAAGTGACATTAAACCCTCAAATTTTTTAACATGAAACAATACTGTAATGTGTGCCTTACTGTAATCCATGGTTGTTTCCCTTCTCTTTGCTGCTCTTCCTTTTAAATCCTCATGTCTTCTCATGCTTGGGGAGAACTTCCCTTTGCAATAGATACATCACTCACACAATGCAATGCTATTCAAAATGAAAGGCTTTAAACTTTAAAAGTACAGGTTGGATAGGGTTGGAAAGCATTAGAACTAGTCACAGATTTTCCCTCAATTCTTGACCCAGGAACAACCTTTTGACTATACAGAACGAGAAGAAAATCTCCAGCACAGTATAAGTACAAAATATTTTTTGGGAGGGGGCAAAGATGTATGCTAGAACCTCTGAAGTAAGGGCTGCCATCTGCTGGCTGCAAGTGTAAGCAGTGTTTAATTGGACCTTTATTGGGTTGCTTCGGGGGGGGGGTTAATTATACATTTTACACCATTTTTTGTTATTGTATAAAAATTAGGGATGCACCGATTGGCATCGAGTACCGATATTTTTTTCCTGCACTAGCTGATACCAAATACCGGCATCCAAAGGTTGCGTGGACACGGCTAATCAGGAAGCCGGGTCATGACCCCTCCTGATTGTCTGGGAAGCCAGTGTTCTATCGAAAGCACACCAGCTTTACGCTCTCTCACAACACCGCAAGGCAGCCTTGCTGCGAAGGAGCATGGAGCCTTGCTACTGGACCAATAAGGAAGCCAGACGACACATCACAACCCGCAGTTTCGCTAGGCAGCGTGAAGCTGGCTTCCTAGCGAATCAGGAAGCTGGGAGGCGGGTCATGACCGACTGCCGGACTTCCTTATTGGTCGAGAAGCCGGCTCCATGCTCCTTCGCGGCAATGCCGCTCAAAGGGACTCTCCCCGTGTGTGTGTTGTAAAGTAGCCATCACTCCAAGCTCACTCCTGGGATTGAACCTCTGCGTTCCATCCCGTAAAGAAGAATGCAAACTATGAAAAATTTAATTTTTACATCTACCTTAAAAATACAATATTTTTTTTCCAGCTAAGATCATAAATATAAAGAAAATATGAACCCAATCGCTATGCATTTCCTTTAAGAGCAGTTTGGCTTACCTTGGGTTCCCCCTGAGCAGCGAAGCGTGTTCTCAGTGTGTCCAGGGGCTGTACAGTCAAAGTTGCTGAACAGGCAGCCAGACCTCCGCATAGGAAGTGAACTGCAGGTGCTCGTGTGTCCAGAGAGGTGGAAGTGTGAAAAACTTCAGTCAAGACCTCAAAACTCATAAACTGTAGGTTGAAGAGACAGAGAGTCAGTTGAGTTCTAAAGGTGGCCGGTATGTGTTCGCTCACTTCCCGATCTACTGAGCCGACTTGGGACAGTTTCATTGTCACAGGTCGGCTCAGGTTATGAGGCTGAGTGAAAAGCACTCACCTCATAATTCTCCTTTAAGACAAAAAGGCTAAAAGACACACCCCTTCCCCATGAGCTGAGAACTATTATAGCAGCACAGGTTGAAGATTCTTCCCTTTTTGCATCCCCCTCCCGCTGAAGCAACCAAAGCGTCCGCTCTTCTGTCTACCCCTCAAATCCTGAACTCACCTGTACAGCACCATAGCAGACAGAGAGAAGCTGTGCTGGGACATGACCTTTCCAAAATCCAGGCAAACCTTCCTCTTTCAAAATCAGTCTCACTGCCTGAGCAATACCACTATACTTCCCATGGACACCATGCCCAGTCAGACGCTCGATTTGCAGCTGTGGAATATAAAAGCACAAAGATCATCTTATTCACTGAATAATTGTGTTTTTTGTTATAAAAAAAATTCACAAAAGTAATGGATTCAGTAGTCTAGCTGCCCTGGGAAATAGGGGTAGCCTGACATCTTTTTAAAGATACCTGAAGGCTTGAGAAGAATGTTACCTGATTTGACAGAATTCAAGATCCATTTTAAAGGAATTAGTGATAACAGAAAAATGGGGGCTGCTATTCCTGATAATCTGGCCATCACGTTCTGTGCCAAGAAGTTCAGCATAACAGCTAGGCAACTAACATTTTCTCCAATGAGCTCAGCAATGGCGACCTGCATATATCTTGCTTCACAGGTTGACTTTATACTAGCTGTACAGGTTTGTTTGTTTATTACAGGTATTTATATAGTGCTGACAATTTACGCAGCGGTTTACATACTGTTAATTCACATCAGTCCCTGCCCTCAAGGAGTTTACAATCTAAGTTCCCTATCTCACATTCATACATACAGGGCTCATTTATACAGGAGCCAATTAAACTACCGGCATGTTTTTGGAGTGTAGAAGGAAACCAGAGTACCCGGAGGAAACCCACCCAAGCATAGGGAGAACAAGCAAACTCCTTGCAGATAGTGTCCTGACTAGGACCAATGACATCACAGGTCCTTGCCCCCTCTTATTCCTCTAGCCATTGGCGAATCCTAAATGCTGCAGAATTCTCCTGTGAGTCCAGGGCAGAGGGTGAGCCCTTGACATGCTCACAGGGAATGTGTTGAATAACACTGGGAAGCATTAAAGTCGGAAGAGGATTGGCACTGGATTGGAGGGCGGGTGTATTGGTGGGGGGGAAAGCGATCGGGTGAGTATAGCTGCTTTTTTTTTTTTTTTATTTAAGTTGCTGGGGGTTCATTATTTGTGGATTTGGGTCCTTTTGGATTCCTGTACATTATAAGACTGGACTCTAGAAAACTGGCCCGCATCCATGGCCCCTAGTTCTTGCTCACTCCCACTATTGGCCCATGATTATTATAGGCAGCCCCACAAACCAATAAGACTTGAGATTTAGGAGGAAGTGAACCAACTGTGTACATATAAAAGCACACAAGTTGCTGGGTCCCTGGATGTTCTACATGTAACTGAAACTGGTGCATGACACGTAGAGGTTTTTGCATTCAAATCCAAGTGGTCAGCCAACAGCTTAATGTCATCGACAGGTTTGCTATAAGCTAAAGAAACTAACCAATTTCTATGAGACAAAAACATAACAAAATACCTGGAAGCGAATTTTTATGACATCCAGAGGGCTAATACATGCCCTTGTGACCAGTCCAGAAAGGGAACCAGCAGTAGCTACTTCAGTGGCAGACAGAAGCTGCCCCCCTGAGTCAGGGTCATATCCCACCATCCTCCAAAGAAACCTGGTATCAAGCAAATAACAAACAGTTTGTTAATTAAAGCTGAACTTTGGGCACAAAGACTTTCATTCAGATATATTCCACAATCGCCTCAAAAGGAGCTGGCTCTCTCCGCCCACACCGATCTGCCAAGGGTGACAGGAGGCTGAGCGGTGTGGGAAGGAGAGACGCCGGGTGCTCACAGCGCTCTTCTCCTCGCGCAGCGCTCGGCCGCCTGTGACCCTTTCTCTCCTCCCCGCTGGGACACAGAACGGCGCCCAGCGGGGAGGAGAGAAAGCTGGGATGCGCCGCTATTTTGGCAGAAAAATTGCACTTTCGCCATTTTCCCAAAAGTGCAATTTTCATTTGATATATCGGTGCATCCCTATCCAAGACCATACAATAGTTTAGTTTTTCTGCTATTATCTTTGCTAGTGTATTCCAATATACTATACACACTTTTTTTTCTGATAGATAGGGCTTTAATTGTGTAGCAGGTTTGGCTACATATATTTATATTCCTCAGATTTCAATTGGGTAGAAATAGGGAAACATTAGGAACAGAAAAATTGCATTTTTATGTACGTTTTCACAACACAACTGTTATGTCATTTGAGCAATTCCAAATATTTATCCCAAAATATAATCAACAAAACTCTTCCGAATAAAAGGATGTCACATGTGCAATTGTTATGCAATACTGGACAATAAAGCTCAATGTGAACATTCAGGAAATTATTTGGGAGATCTTCTTTCCCCGCTTTCGAGTTTCCATTGTGACACATAGAATATAATCTCTATGTGCAAGGCCCCGTTCACACTGTGCTGTTGCAGTGCTTCACTGCATGCACATTAACGCTTGCTATTTTGTATTTTAACATGCATCGATTTAAGTCAGCCCGTTAGTTTTGAAATGGCTGACAACACCTGGAAAAGGACAAAACCACACCTACACTTTTTTTGTAATGCAGCACAAGACAATGCAAGTGAGACACTGCAGTATGGGATGCATTGGCATCTACTAAACTGTGCGTTGGGTGCCAGTCTAAATGATGGCACCAAAACACATCACACATGTAGGAGTGCACCCAGCCTGAATGTGTATAATGTTAGTGTACGAATACAAAAAGATCAAGTTATGCCTGTACAGACAAGAAATGACAGACACATTTTCACAAGTTTGCGATTGTTAAAATTCCACAATGACGTTGTGCTTGACACTTTTAAATAAGATACATATCTGTAAAATCTTAAAAATACATTCAAGCACCTTAACTATTAACTGCTGAGTTTAGTGTCACTTTACTACAATGCGGAAACATGGCATTGTACTGTGCTCCTATGGAGTGCTCTGTAGCAGGATCACAGGCCCAGGAGCTGTTCAGTTCCTCCTCTAGGCTTAGTGCTGAAATAGAGCCTGCTGGGAGGACCCGCCAGATCTGTACGTCATTATTTACTCATACTGACACAATGACATTGCTTTGCATTCTTTTGGTGGCCATGTCTACTTAAAATGATTTTGTTTCCTTTATATTCTTAGGGTGAGGCTACATTCACACTAGCCCTGCTTCTGAAACACTTTGTTGTTGTGTAACAGCTTATGGCAGATCGCACTTTACTTTTTTTTTGCATTTGCAGTGTACAAACTGCACACCCCATTCAGCTCCACACACAGTAGCGTGTTGTGCAGTGTGGCCTGCAGTACAAATCCAGTGTGCTTCAGAAAGGTGCAGCGCATTGCACATCACACCCACATTGTCGTGTGAACGGGACACAGAAATCAGTTATTTTCCATGTGCCTTAGTGGTGACCTGCGTTGTAGAAAACCGCAGGTCAACACACAGTGTAAATGTATCCTACAAAGAAAAAATGAAGACACTTTTTTTTAAGTTAAAAAGTATACATTGTATTCTACAAAATGGTCATTTACAAAATAAAGGGATTTTTAATGTTTTTTTTCCTGGAGCCTGTACTATGCTGCTATGATAGGAACCAGGAAAGGAAAATTTAAGTTAAGTATGATACAATCTTCCATTTTTATATGGTGGGTTTTTTTTCAGGTATGGGCTTGCTCCCCAATAAGCACCCCCACAGCAGTAAAAAATAAAAAAAACGCCGACCTATCTTCCAGATGACCAAAGCCCAGTGTCATTTTGAATACTGTGAGTTCAGGGCATCAAGGACCCTCGCTCACCCTGGAATGGAATGAATGACGCTCAGCATAGTTGATACTGGAAGAGGAGTGGCATTTCATCACCGGGGACAGTCAGACGGAGCTGCTTTTTTATTTTCAGCCCCCATTCACACTTGACTGGGGGCATTTTTAGGCAATTTCAGGCTTGAGCGTTTATAGTTTTACCCAATGGAAAGCTAGCTACTAGGAGGGGATGTGTTAGGTGTGTAATGGCATGCAACACGCACGATATGCACATTTTTTCAGTGCTCCAACTGAAGTCCATGGGGCCACGATTCTGCCCACTGATGTACATTTTGGAGTTACAAACGACAAAATGCTCATGTGTGAACGTGCACCATTGAAAATGATGGAATTCTTCATGTTGGGCATTGTCGCACTTTGGGAAATGCGCAACAAAGCGATTGGGAGCGAATGAGAGCCAAGGCTGCCCGGGGAGGGGGGTTAATATTTTAAAATTTACACCTAAGCTGGCCTTGAGCTGCCGCCAGATCAATTCCATGGACAGGTAAAGTGGTACCTCCTCCACCTTGCTTCTTGGCCTCCGCTGTCCCTCATGCAGGCCCAGGACAGGTATTGCAGGTGTCGGCAGGAAGCGGGGAGAGACCAGTGAACATGTGTTCGCCAATATCCTCCCCGCAGAATGAAGTTGGAAGTGATGCTGATTGCATTGCTCGGCTAGAGAAGCCAAGGAAGAAGCTGTTCAAGAGCGACAGATTCTTTGAAGTGAAAAGTTGACACTAGGGGTCTAAAGGACACCTGAAATTAACCTGTCACCACTAATATGCTATCAAATAGGGGGCTTGTACGTATGAAAACGACAGTTAACCAATGGGAACACTAGGGGAATTTCCCTTTATGTTGGGGTGTTTTCTTAAACTTCCTTTTACCTGGAATGGGAAGTACAGGGAAATGTCCCCAATAGCACAAAGATCACAAAAAATAACTTTCCACCCGTTAAGGGTCCGATCACACCGGCAGCATGCACTACCTCACAACCGCTGGTAATAGCAGCCAAGTTTTTAGTGCTGTCCAAAAAAACAATTTGTCTGGGGACCTTAAATCAATCAAGCTGTCCACACAGAACACAATCTCCTCTAGATGTACCATCAACTATGTAGTGTAAGAGCTCGCCTGATTGGATACAAACCAAATGGATTGTTTTGGTGGTCCTTATATCACATTGTTTGGGTAAATCTAAAAGTTAACGATCTTATTGTATAGTGCAAGGCCAGCTTAAAATACAATGGAAGCCAAAACGTTTGGATAGAGTGGGGCGGATTTGGACAGCGGTCAGGTTTTATTATTGTCCCTGTTAGTGGGATTCCCCCTCCCTATTTGTTCTTAGGACCTATCCAGAACAGGAATCATTCTGTTGTGGCTTATAGACAGAAAGTGAAGGGAAGTCTTCCAATGGGGATACGATTTCTGGTGACCCTGCTGATCACCAGGGATTTCCTCTCACATCCTGTTGTGGCCATCAGAAAGAATGTGAATGGACATTTTCCAATGGGGACACTAGTTCTGGTGACCCTGTGGAACACCAGGAATGTCCCTCTCTCTGGAGGGATTCCCTCTCACTTCCTGTTGTGACTATTGGACAGGAAGTGAAAGACAATCTCCCCAATGGTACACAGATGACAGGTTATAACCCTCCCTTACTCTGTCCAAGTTTTGGCTTCAGTTCTTCTGGAATGGATGGAATGTATTTTACATGACATTACTATTTGTACCAAGCTCAACAGCAAAGTGTTCCTGAAAGTTTTATAGAACCACTTGAACCCATATAAAAAATGTCCGCATAAATAAAGCTTTGTAGCTGCAGTCATGGGGTAAGCCCACCTATAGAGGACATTTGCCTAAATGATATTTTTTTAAAAACATAAGAAAATAATTAGAACAATTTAGTTCTCGTGTATTAAAGTGAATTCCGCCAAACTGCTATGTTGTGTCCTATTCACACCCTATTACTGAGCTCTCTCTTTCAGGGTGTCAGTACACCGACCGGGCTCTGCTTGTGTCCCTGTCAGAGAACAACGGTGACCCACCCGGAGCGAACACAGACACACACTCACTCACCACCACACCTCGCTTCCACTGGAGCGTCTTCTTCCAGCCACTCCCACTTTCATATCCAATCGGAAAACAATACCAGGCTAGGCCTCCACTCCAGACCAATCAAAGCGCTCCGAAGATGACTCATTCAGCAGGGAGGCTGACGTCTCGACACTAGAGGTCGAACTATAGCTGTCCCCTACACAGGATACATTGGATTGTAGCCAAAGTCACCCTCCTTGTGTTAGCTTGTCTGTAAGCAATCGGTTCTGTGACTGCATTGCAATATAAATAAGCACCGCTATTGGCTTTTAATTAAATGTATGTGGAAGCAGGAAAAGTTGCTTTAGCTTTAGTTTTTAGAGAAAAAAAAGCAGGTTTGTGCCAGAGCAAGGACGAAGCTTTTCTACCAACTACATACATAGCAAATAACAAAGTGCATGCTGCGGTAAAAAGCTGTCAGTGACTGACAGTGACTGACCCCCTGTCTCATCAGCTGCGGCATACAGGGCCGTCTTTACCGCGGGGCAAATGGGTCAGGTGCCCCGGGCCCTATAATTTACCGGGGCCCACCACAGCTTCCCTTTTCCCTTGCTGGGGACCAGCAGCAGACAGAGAAAGAGCTGCAGCAGCGCACGTAGTGAGAGAGAACGGCCGTTCATCCTCTGTAGCAGCCGGCCTCTGTGAAGAGACCGGCCAGCCGTCCGTGTGTGTCTCCTGCTGTGATCTCCTCCCCCGATGCCACAGAGATCCGGCAGACACGGATCTCTGTGCCACCCCACAGTGTGGCCACCCCACAGTGGGTGGCTGGAGGCGGCCACACAAGCATCGGCGGTCCTCTGTTGGTGGAATCTTATGTCATCAGTTCGTCCTATAAGCCTTTTGGCTGCGGGTTCTCTACAAAACAAACCCCCCTCCTTTGGGTTGCTTTTTCAGGCGCCCCGAATGTGCTTTTACCATCTTCCATCTCGGAACTACGGGCTGTTGCCACTGATTGCTGTCTGTGCTGGGCATCCGCTGAGTATGCACTGAGGGGATTACCTCCTGCCCCTGACGAAGCGCTTTGTAGCGCGAAACGCATCGAGCCTCATCAGTATCGCTTGACTTCTACGGTCATAGCCACACACCTACCAACCTCGGTTGTCCCACTAAAGGGTTAATTTTTCAACTTATTTATACTAGAGATTTATTAGTCCAATTACTATAAATGTTATTTATCCTTCTCTTTCATACTTGAACCCTACATGTGGGACTCCAAGGGGGTCATTAGGAGGTTCCCCTTATTGGGGCAAATTCCTTTTATTCTAATTACATTGTTCAAATGTTCTTTTTTAACATTTTGTTTTGATGAATTAATACATTTTCTAATTTGATATATAATCAATTTTGATGTGATGTTTATTGGATTTGTCATTCTGCTAGCCAACACAAACCCTTATTTTTCCCTCTTTGCTGTAATATTACTTTATAAATTGTTGCCAACAGCTACTGCCATTGATTGCTCTTTGTTTTAGAATATTGTTGTAGAAGATCCTTTATGTGGAGGTGAAATTAAGGTATGTTAAATTGTATGAAATGTATATATATATTGTATATATTTTTTTGTTTGGTTTTGGATAGAATGTGGAAGAGTTTGACCCTTTCTTTCTGTGTCCCATACCCTCCTTTTTTCTTTTTTTCTTTTTTTTTATTGCACAAAGTGTTTATTCCACTCAACAAATACTTAGAGGGAAGACAAGTTTAGACAGACAGTTCCCTTTTTTTGGCATTCCATGATCCAATATAGTAGGTCATGTCATGTCATGCCAATATAGGTAGGTCATGTCTTCATTCACAGTGCATTTGAATCTCCAGCACAAGCCACATTTCACCAAATCATGTGGAGGGTCCAGGATCACATTCTAGCTTCGTTTTTCTTGTTCGATCGTCTCTTTCGTAGGCAGTGTGTTCAACTCGTTGGTCTCAGTTTTCTTCATCTTTGACCGGTCGAAGCTGTCAATCTCTTGAAGGTTCGGCTTGTCTGCCATCTTCGAGCTTTTGTCTGGGAGCTACAGCAACACCGAGTTTGTAACACTCCACAAGAGGAACACGTCCCAGACCCTCTTAATCAGGGGAATTCCATAACGCATTTGTGCCAGAATTCTGGTGTTAATGCAACCAAGGAAATGTCAGCGCCAAATTATAAAACATGCTGCGCCATTTTCCAGACCTCCACTCACTGCTGCACCAAATGTAGGTAGTTCTAATTTGTAGGGATTCACTGATACTAGTATTACCAATACTGGACATTTTCACGAGCACTCATACTCGTGGAAATGCCCTGATACTTAAAGCCAATACCGGTCCTTTAAATTTTGAAATGACTTCAGCTGCCGTAAGGTCCCGCGCTTGCTGTTTACCGTGCCGGTCCAGCCGCATATCTCCTGCTCCTCCTTCCCGCCACCTGCACTCACCTGTAGAGCCATGGGGAGACCCACAGACACCCGAACAGCGATGGGAAGACCGCCACCGCACCTGCTCTCACAGCCCTGGTGATACCTGCACACAGCCCTAATGAGACCCGCACAAAGCCCTGTTGAGACCGTGCACAGCCATGGTGAGACCTGCACACAGCCCTGTTGAGACCGTGCACAGCCATGGTGAGACCTGCACGCAGCCCCGGTGAGACCCCGCACTCAGCCCCGGTGAGACCCCGCACTCAGCCCTGGTGAGACCCCGCACTCAGCCCTGGTGAGACCCCGCACTGAGCCCTGGTGAGACCTCGCACAGCCTCCTGAGATGCCGCATAGCACTGGTCAGACCCCCACACAGCCTCCTGAAATACCACATAGCCCTGGCCTGGTTAACAACACAGAGTATGTAGCTTCATATTATTCTGCATTGCTGTATAATGTATTGCTGGGATTTGTAGTCTTCTATCACTGGTGGTATTCTGCATTGCTTTTAGGTTGTAAGTCCTTGCGGGCAGGGCCCTCCTTACCATCTTGTCTGGAATTGTATTGTGATTGTAATGTCTTCCTTATATTGTAAAGCGCTGCGCAAACTGTTGGCGCTATATAAATCCTGTATAATAATAATAATTGCTGTATAATGGATTGCTGGGATTTGTAGTCATCTATCGCTGGTGGGCTGGTGGTATTCTGCGGCGTGTCATTCTTGATTACCCGGGGAAGCCGGCTCCACGCTAGCGAAAGTACCGGTATAGGCGACACTACTCGTACTTGATATCGAAAAAATGGTATTGGTGCATCCCTACATATTTGGGTCATACTTCATTCTGGTGCTGTACTTGTAACATATTCAATAAATAGACATTTTGGTAATTAGAAAAGTGATGCAAAGCATGAGTCATTTTTGGCTAGCTAGTCTGTTACACTTTCATATGTACCTCATGTGTGCCATTCCTTGAAATGGAGGATCCTACTGAAATCTGTCTCAGACACATACGTGACTCTTTGGACAGAGATGACACATCTATGTACTTTATCAGTGTGTATATATCTGTCCCAATGTTTGTCTAGCAAACCAGTGCCAGTGTCATAGGTTTGCTCTAAATTCATGAATGCTGTGCAGCCTTGTACATTTATTTATTTATTACAGGTATTTATATAGCGCTGACAATTTACGCAGCACATTACATAGTTGCACATTCACATCAGTCCCTACCCTCAAGGAGCTTACAATCTAAGTGTCACGTACCTTAGGAGAGTCTGAGATGTTGAGGGCGGCCTCTCTCACTTCTCTGGTCCTGGGGCACCTGGATGGGTAAAGGGGCACAGAGGGGCAGGAGTGCCAGTAGTCAGGGCCGGATTTACTCCCTCTGCCGCCTCAAGGCCAGGTTCCACAATACTGTCACCCGCTGCCGCCCTCTGCGCTCTGCCGCCCCGAGGCCGGGCCTTGGTGGCCTTGTGGGAAATCCGGGCCTGCCAGTAGTAGCTGAAACCGATGAGCAGGAGAACAGATATGGTTGTAGGTCCAGCAGGCAAGGATTGCAGAGCAGTCAGGACAGGCCGAGGTCATCAACGTGCAGGCATCGCAGTACAGGGGGGTGAAGCAGGAGAATCGTCAAGAACAAGCCAAGGGTCAATCACTGGAGAGAAGCAGAAGAGTCAAGCCAAGCCGGGTTAGTAACAGAAGCAATTCAGGAACAGGATACAGGGAAGCTGACAATCTGACAGCAAAGGAGGTTTGTTAGCCACAGCCTTATACACTGAGTGGCCCGATTATTATGACCACCCCATCAGTACTTCGTTGGGCCACGAGATAACTTCTTTGGGACGTCTCGTGACTCCACGAGATGTTGAAAGGTGGTGCGAGGAATCTGACACTGCACTGTTGCCCTTCTGTTGTCTTGTCCCAGTCTTGCCACTCTCCGTTCTGCCCTAACATTGACTAGTCGCTGACGGCCACAATTCGCACGTTCAGACCCAGATTTTCAGCTGACAGTCCAGTCTTTAAACACTTCAACAATGAGCCCCTCTTGAACATTTAATTAATTCTGCTGTTTTGCTGATACTCGCTCCATGGCTCGCGCCAACAATCATCCCACGTTCAAAGGCTGTTAAATCGCGTGGTTTACCCATATCTTCAGAAACAAATCACTTCTACTGTCGTGGTAAACAACCTGCTTCCCTATTTATGATGGTCTGGCCCTCTAGCAACTTCAGTGCCAAATTATAGCTAATTATAGCTAATTTGCCTACAAACGTCAGGTGGTCATAATAATCTGGCCACTCAGTGTAATGTGTATGTGCAAGGCCCCGTTCACTCTGTGCTGTTTCAGTGCGTCACTGCATGTACATTAATGCTTGGTATTTTGTATTTTAACATGCATCGATTTAAGTCAGCCCGTTAGTTTTGAAATGGCTGACAACACCTGGAAAAGGACAAAACCACACCTACACTTTTTTGTAATGCACCACAAGACAATGCAAGTGAGACACTGCAATACTATACTATACTGTGCGTTGGGTACCAGTCTAAATGATGGCACCAAAACACATGGCACACGCAACCAGCCTGAATGTGTATAATGTTAGTGTACGAATACAAAAAGATCAAGTTATGCCTGTACAGACAAGAAATGACAGACACATTTTCACAAGTTTGCGATTGTTAAAATTCCACAATGACGTTGTGCTTGACACTTTTAAATAAGATACATATCTGTAAAATCTTAAAAATACATTCAAGCACCTTAACTATTAACTGCTGAGTTTACTACAATGCGGAAACATGGCATTGTACTGTGCTCCTATGGAGTGCTCTGTAGCAGGATCACAGGCCCAGGAGCTGTTCAGTTCCTCCTCTAGGCTGAAATAGAGCCTGCTGGGAGGACCCGCCAGATCTGTACGTCATTATTTACTCATACTGACACAATGACATTGCTTTGCATTCTTTTGGTGGCCATGTCTACTTAAAATGATTTTGTTTCCTTTATATTCTTAGGGTGAGGCTACATTCACAGTAGCCCTGCTTCTAAAATACTTTGTTGTTGTGTAACGGCTTATGGCAGATCCACGAGATGACTTTGTTGGGCCGCCTCGTGACTCCACGAGATGATGAAAGGTGATGCGAGGAATCTGACACTGCACTGTTGCCCTTCTGTTGTCTTGTACCAGTCTTGTTCCTCTCCGTTCTGCCCTAACATTGACTAGTCGCTGACGGCCACAATTCGCATGTTCAGACCCAGATTTTCGGCTGACAGTCCAGTCTTTAAACACTTTACCAACAGCTGCTCTTGAACATGTAACAAATTCTGCTGTTTTGCTGATACTCGCTCCATGGCTCCGAGCGCCAACAATCATCCCACGTTCAAAGGCTGTTAAATCGCGTTGTTTAACCATATCTTCAGAAAAAAGTCACTTCTACTGTCGTGGTAAACAACCTGCTTCCCTATTTATAATGGTCTGGCCCTCTAGCAACTTCAGCGCAAAATTATAGCTAATTTGCCTACAAAAGTCAGGTGGTCATAATAATCTGGCCACTCAGTGTATAGCCCAGAGGGCACCAAAAAGTCAAACAACACGTCGGTGCGCACACAACGCGCATGCTTACACAGAGACGCTACACGTGATACAACTCTATTAGCTGCACTATGCGCAAACTGCCGTGAAAGAATTCTGGCTCTGGCTTCCTGACACTAAGGTCCCTATCTCACATGCATACATAGAGGGCCAACTTAGAGAGGAGCCAAGTAACCTACCAGCATGTCTTTTTGGAGTGTGGGAGGAAACCGGAGTAACCGGAGGAAACCTACGCAAGCACAGGGAGAACATGCAAACTCCTTGCTTTTACATGAATTTAACGCAAATACACAATTCCTGTAATCCCGAGACAGTTTTTTATGTGTCTCAGCCACACTCTTTTTGAACTCCCATAAAATCTGAGTGAGAAGTATAATATAGAGGCCATGGGGGTCGTGTAACGAGAAGACCCTTTGGACTTCATGTTCAGCAGCTCTGAGGTGTAGATGTGTTGACATCAAGAAAACTGAGAAATAGGCCTAGTTCACATGTGTGTTAATATTAGGCGGGAGCCTTCCTACCACCTATTAAGGCAAATGTGGAATAGTTTAATAGCTAGTGCACAGTGCAGTACACACGTGTGCTTCCTCTTGTGGTTACGAACCTTCAAGAAGTATTTTCCAGGCACTGGGGGGGAGGCGTTGGAGGCTCTGAAGTCCCAGAAAACACTGAGAAATAAACGGCTCCTGTCTGCACACGCCAGTTTTGCCAGCCAGATAGCCACTCCAGCCACTTCCAACACCAGCCATGTGTGCAGGCCTGTACCAGAGCATCACTTCCCCTTCAAAAAAGAACAAGAAACCAGGGTTTGCATGGGGGGCGGACAAGGTTTCTCAGTGCGGTTTTAACGCATTAAAAAAGCATGTTAAACACTAGAGGGGTGTTAATCAGCGCCCCTCCTTTCTATCTGAATGAGGCCTTAGGAGTGAAGCAAAGAGTAAGAGTAAAATAACCCCATTCATGAGCCATTTTACTTCAGCCATGTTTGCTATATAGCTCATGATCCATTCTGTTCATAAATAAAATGGCCATACGTTCTTCATTAATAACATTGTTA